CAAAGGAAATCTGAAAGCTGTAGGCAATAAAGTCACCAGAAAGCCCGAGATAACAAACATAAGGATGAATTTTTCCCAGTTAAAACTTGTTTCAGAGAGGGCTTCTTAGATCCTTTTTGAAGGACCTTTTTTTTTTTTTACCGGTCAGGACTTGTTTTTAGTCTTCAGTATAGCACATATTTAATGAGCACTATACCTTTAAGTTTAGCCACATCTTCTCTCGACAATGCAGGAACTGAAGTTTCTTTATTCAACTTTATCAACTTAATCAACTTTATGTTGATTTTGTTGCATACTAGCTATGAGGGATGCATTTCTATTTGAGCGTGTGTGAGTTTTCCTTCACTTTCTCAATAAATACAAATATGATAAATCTGTTAAAGTGGAAATTACACAGCCTCTTTGTTCCCCCCTAAATTGCTTGGTGGCTAACAGCAGAATACTTCTGTGCTACTAAGAAGCTTCCAGCTGCAAGTGTATGCGTGTATGTATGCGTGTTTGTATGCGTGTGTGTATGTTTGTGTGTGTGTGTTTGTGTGTTTCTCCCCCAGGCCACAATGCAGCAAATTAGAGTTTGTTCTTAGTCAACTCACTGTGGTAAACAGTTAAATGCACGGTTAGTCAACAGCAGGGAACATTGCTGAGAGGTCACCAGTTTCTTTGGAGTACACTAAAAACTACACAGCATTTTATTTTTTTTGGGGGGGCGGCGTAATTAGGAAATACACGGGGGGAAATAAGTATTTGACCCCTTGCTGATTTTGCAGGTTTGCACACTTACAAAAAATGCTTATTTTTCCTCATCAGATGGTTATCAATTTTTAAAAATTCATTTGATGTGATTTTCTGGCATTTTCTTTGGGATTCTGTCTTTCACTGTTAGAATGTACATATGATTAAAGTTATAGATTGTTGCATTCTTTGTAAGTGGGCAAACCTGCTAAATCAGCAAGGGGTCAAATACTTATTTCCCCCACTGTATCACAAAAAGTATATATTGTTGCATCATTATGGGCTAAATTAATGATTATTTGCAGACAAAGAAGATGTTTGTATTCAGAATATTAACAAATGTAAACATATCTATAATGAAAGAAACAGGGTCAAAACAAAAAGTTGTGAGAAAAGCTAAAGGAATTTTGAAATCATACACGTGATTTACGACCATCCTATTATTGGAGGACAGGTAAAGGGGTTAGGATTGGGTATAATAGACTTATCACCATATAGTGAATTTATTATCCCCCAGTGACACTAACCAGGAGCCCTCTTGCTGTGAGGGGACAATAATAACCACCACTGCCCTGCAGCCCTATAGCAACCCTGTATTAAGTGGTCAATGAAATGGATGAATCACCTAGCAAAGTGTATATTATGGTAGACAAATTGAAAACTTGTCACTGCATAACTGTAAACATTTGTGTTTGGACATCTATGTGTGATGGTGTGAAAGGACACTGGGGATACCAGTCTGTAAAGGTCAAGAACTCCTTCACCACTATGACCTTTGAACCAACATTTAATAATTCATGAGAAACCATCTCAGGACTCCTGTGTGGAAAAAAAAACTATTTTCAATCCACACAGTCTGCCAAATCATCCATAAATATGAGCAGAAACTATTATCCAGAAACAAGACGGTCTCTCAGCTGTACGGAATGCTGCAAAGTTTACGACGGGTTCAATTCAGCTTTGAACAAAAAGATACTGGAACGCATCTTCTTTGATCAGATGAGTCCACATTTCAGATGATTTTCTGGGGGAAAATATATATAAAATCATATTTTGTCGAACAACCAAAGATGAACAAGCCAATGACCCCTCAGACAATTGGACCGCACACAGCTCTTGTGTGGTACAACTTCTGTTTATTTATTTATTCATTTACAAATGAGATGCACTGTGTACCTCTCGTTTACCTTCCCTTGTGGACCAGCTTATTTTCTTTCTTCTGGCTCAAAGCCCTGACAAGAGCAACGGAGAATGATTCACATGCATAAAGTTAGTTTAATGCATGCATACACAAGAACTTTTAACTCCCAGTGTGATTACCTGGAGAGGTTAGTCAAACTTTTAACCGGCTGTTGTATGATTCCAGGGAAACCTACATAATCAGTACTGTCTCTCAAAAGCCAAATTACAAATAGCCGGAAAACTGCAAATACAATATATACACTGTACTATAACATATGTCAAAACTTCTGTGTCCTATCTGCTCACTAAAACTGAGCTCTTTGTAGTGTAACGGCCATGAAATCCTCTCAGTAGTTAATATGCTTTTCATTGTGAAGTTTTACAAATCCCTCTCTGTTCCGCGGGCGTGTCGAATGTGGCCCTAACCAGGAGTAATAAAAGCTAAATTAAAAGTTTCCTCACGTCCACGTGTCTCAGCTGATGAATCCACGGTGGAAAAATGCATCCAATCAGGAAAATCAGGATTTTATCCCAGCGAATAATTTGATTCCATGATGACGGTGAATGCGGGAAATGGAACACAGAAAATACAGCCAAAAGCGAGTGTTGTGCGCCAAGTTTAAAAGGAGGAACCCTGTCCACTTTTGTGAAAATTATTTCAGGAGCCAAGTAATGTCAATGCAAAGCACATTACCAATAAAGTGAGTTTATTATAAAATGAATAATATTGCCTATGAACCTCATTTTAAAATGTACCTGACTGAGGACTAATGATTTTGATAGTTCATTAGATTAACGTTAGTGTTGGTTTTATAGATAAAATACTCGTAGAACTCAAGTTGTCCTTTTTGCAGAAAGTCTAACTCGTAATTGTATTTAATCTATGCCAGGTGGTAATAAAAATCAGATGGCTTGTTGATCATTCAGCAAAATTGATTTACTTTCATATCTGGATGCACAACTGCACTCTGAGATTCCCTTGCAGGCTTTGCAAAGACTTTTGACCCAATTTTGACCAAAAGAATTAAGCTAAATTCTTGGTTAAATTGAATCATGTTGTGGTGAGCAATTGCTCTCCATTTGCGAGTAAAAGACTGTCTGAGTGATGTGCTCTTCCTTTGACCCACCCTCAACACAGGGCAGCTGCTTTTTTTTTTTTCTTCACACAATTATAACTCATCGAACAGACTCTGAACCAGAGGAGAATACATTTAACACCGACGACTTATCACAGACGAGCGCTCGGAAATATTGAGAGCTGAGATTTGAACTGCAACGTCTGGATAATTAGTTGCTTTTGAGGGTATAAAGATGCTGCATTAAGGGTGAAACGGAGGCTGTAGTCCTCTCTGCTCGCCCTTGACCTCACATTATCTCGGCTAAGCTTTAGTACTTTATTAGCCTGCAGATTTGCATATTATTACATGCCTTCAGAAAGTTTCTTGTCATTACAAAGTGTGTTATTATGGCATATTAGGTTCAGTATCAGTCTTTGTGTGCACTGCCTGATAACATAGTTTAAACAAAAGTGGCTGGACACGCAACAGAACTTTAATTGTTTCCGTTCAGCTCAAGTGTGCGTGCCTCGTACGAGTCCTTGAAAAGTTTTCCTGAGGATAAACATCGGATCCCAGATTCAGTCAAGTTCAGCTCGAAACTGCTTTCTGGTTGTTATTTTGTTTTCTAATTTCTGCACGAGTAACTGTAACTCTGTGATTTCAGTTTCTAATTTGTGTTATCATGACAACATCAATGCTTTCTCACCATTTTGATATCTGTGGCACCACTGTGACGAGCCACTGGTGCTAATTTTAGTACCATTTGCAGGCTGATACATATAAGTGCATTTCCCCCTGTTGTGCTGTTGTAACACTCACGATGTGTTTACAGTTAATAAAACAGACAATGGACCAATGCTAGGTTCGGCTACGGGAGTAAAGAAATGTGCAATGTATTAATGACCACAGACCAGGGAATAAATTTAAACTGCCGGCTTATTATTTGTTGAAAAACAAAATAACAACAATATTATGAACAGTTGACATACAATGACACAGAATCCAATCCAAAATAGTTTCCTTGTTTCTTTCAGAATATTGTATTTATTCCTGATTTAACTTTAAACCTAATTTTAGGTATTAAAGGATACTATTTATTTTGAAACCTAGGTTATAGTTCTATTTAAGTTCAAATTGATACTGTTAATCTGTTTACTTTACAGTTTGGTTGTCTAAATCTTTTGAATCTATTTTAATTATTTAGAATTCTTTTTAAGAAGTTAAGGTTTTAATTTCCTGTTTAACCATTTGTTTCTATTATAACCCCACAGATGATTTCACATTAACACACAACAATGAGTAATAATTGTGGTTCAAGAAAGAAAACAATAAAACACACAAAACAATCCAGGGAAGGACTGAATAACTCGTGTTCAAATCAATGTCTTTTCTTCTGATGTCTTTCTTGAAGGGTTAATTCCGTTCTCTGAATCCAATACTAGTTCAGCAGGAAAACATGGGCAGATCATACCAGTTTGGATGAATTTCGATGTCCAGCAGAGGGCGTAGCTCCTGCTAGACGATAGTTACAGGGCTCCTGGGTTACGGCTCGCCATCTTGTTTCTCGCTAGCGGAATCCAACTCATCAATCGACTCCGAATTTCCCGGTCCAATTTTCAGCAGAACCTTAAAAGGCCTGGTTTAATAACCAACAAAGCATAACAAAAGTTCGTTTAACTTTGCTTCATACTGAATAAAATAGCATACTCGCCGATTTGGCGGCTGAACATCGTGTGTGTGGGGAACATGCTTCACCCACACCAGCTCATCCGTTACTTCCACGGGTTTTGAACATAAAACAACATAAATGCGCTACTTTAGCTTTCTGTTAGAATGAAATAAAATGATCTTACAAATAACATCCATTACAGAAAATAAAATACACTTTTTTTCTTTTAACTCACCAAGTCCAGTTCTGTACATATAATACTCCGAACGCAGTCGGTAAAACAATTGCGGAAAGCTCCTCCGACGAAAATGGAAAAGGTTTCCAGTCAGCAGGTAGAGTTTTTAATTGTCTATTTTCTCTTATTTCTCTCTCTTAGCTTCTTCTCTCTGCTTCTTCTTCGCTCTCTCTGCTTCTTCTTCGCTCTCTCTGCTTCTTCTTTGAGCGCCAGAGGATGCAGCAACCCGGTTGGCTGGAGCAAGTCACATGGGCTACACATCAATGTGACCCTTCAGAATAAGAGATTTTACTCCACATTGACCGTTTTAGCTGCTGACAAAATAAAACTCTACAGATTCTCAACCAAATAAAACATCATAACATGAAATAAAGCATTCTTAATGTTTTTAATTCTTACCTTTTATATTAATTAATTAATTAACTAACTAATTAATTATCTTAACACCTATTTATTCTCTATTTATTTATTTCCTATTTATGCATTTTATAGCTATTTTTTATGAAAAGGCTTACATATAGTGAGGGATATTTTAACCTGGGTTACACCCTCCCCACTTAAATCTATGCAAGTCCCTTTGCATAATACCCGAGTTAAACTAACCGGATCTCAGGGATTTCGATAGAACCTGTGACAGCTTCACTCAGACTTTGGAACAGAGATTGAACTACACTGACAAGAGGGTTCCCTAATTTAGGATAAGTCAAAATCTTTGGCCTGGTTCTCTGTCGAGAAGGTCTTTTGTCAGCTTGTTCTGTCACAAGGTCACATCCCTTGTCATCTTTGATCATGGGTTCGGTCTCATTCACGTCAGTCTGAGTCATTTCCAAATCATTGGCTTGGCCACGATCTGAGGCATTGTTCATCTCATCAAGGTGAGTTTCTGGTTCTCTGACTATTTTAGGTGCAGACACACTCTGCGTTTCCACTGAGTTGTCCTTTCCAGGTAAGTTGTCCATTTTCTTTATGTCGTTTTCTGCAGGAACATTATCAGGCACTGTGTTATGTTCTGTGACATCAGTATTGTTCGATTTAGGCTGTTCAACAACAGGCTTCTGAAACGTTTTGGAAGGAAAAACTACATCATATTCCTCAACCACCCTAGAAATTTCTTGAAGAGGGCCTGGGGTGTTATATAAAGGATAGTTGTCTTCCTCCTCTGAGTTGTACTCAAGTTCAGGTTCGTCATTATCGGTAACATGGTGTTGGCGTGTGTTTGGCCGTCTGGGTTTGTCGTGGACTACAGCAGGATTTTCAGGAATAGCTGGCAAGAACCCACAAGGTAACAAAAGGTCTCTGTGGAGAGTTCTGGTGGGACCATCTTGGTTCTCAGGTTTAACTATATACACTGGTAAGTTGTCTTTTTGACTTACAACCACATGGACAACAGATTCCCACCTGTCTGATAACTTGTGTTTACCCCTAATCCTAACATTCCTTACCAACACACGATCACCAACATCCAAGACAGATTCGGTTACATGTTGGTCATATCTGATTTTATTCCGTTCAGCCACTTTAGCAGCATTTTTACTAGCCAGTTGGTAACTCTCTCGAAGGTGAGATTTGAGGGCTTGGACATACTGCGAGTGGGACTGTTGCTGGCGATGGCTCAGAGTGACATTAAAAGCAAGGTCTATAGGTAGTCTAGGCTGCCTACCAAACATTAACTCATATGGTGTAAACCCAGTACTTTCATGTTTGGTACAGTTGTACGCGTGTACAAGGGGCTTCACAAAATCACGCCAATGTTTTTTGTTCTCGTCAGTGAGTGTACCCAACATGTTTAATAAGGTTCTATTAAACCTCTCTACTGGGTTTCCCCTGGGGTGGTAGGGTGGTGTTCTAACTTTCTGTATTCCAGCTAGGTTACACAGCTCTTTGATAGTTTTTGATTCAAAGTCTGCGCCTTGATCGCTGTGCAACTTTTCTGGGAAACCATAGTGGATGATAAAGTTTTCCCACAGGGCTTTGGCTACACTACGAGCCTTTTGGTTCGGTGTGGGGATCGCTACAGCATACTTTGTAAAGAAATCAGTGATGACAAGGACATCTTTAGTATTACTGCAATCTGGTTCAATCGTCAAAAAGTCAATGCACAGTAACTCAAGAGGTCGAGTTACTTGAATGTTCACTAGAGGTGCTGCCTTCTCTGGCAGGGTCTTCCTGCAAACACACCGGCTACAGGTTTTGATTTTTTGTTCAATATCTAAGGCCATCTTTGGCCAGAAAAATCTGGTTCGGATCAAGTCAAGGGTTCTGTCAAAGCCAAGATGACCCATGTCATCATGGAGGCTTTTCAACACCATAGGTCTCAGGCTTTCAGGGAGAATAATTTGATACTGGAGTTCTTCACCTACTTGCCTTTTTCTGTACAAAATCCCATTCTGCAGCTCAAGTTTGTTCAACTCACGCAAAAGGATAGAAAGGTGTGGAATTTCTTTTCGCACCACAGGAGAAGGTGTTTCACCTGTTTCCAGCTGGTGTATAATTTCGTTGATAGCAGGATCGCTTCTTTGACTTTGACTCAATTCTTCTTCTGACACGCTTGGGATGACAGGAAAAGCGCTGCCCTGATCAAAACTGTCAGGAACCGCATTGGCAGTCATAGACAGAGATGTTACAAGGGGGCAGGTAAGACCATAATGATCTGTATTGAATGACTGAAACACTAGGTGTTTATCACAGATCGCATTTACAGCATGAGAAGGAACATGAATGAAAGGATCCGTGCCAGGTAAGTGATGTTGTACAAATTGGCGGATTCGCTCTTGTTCTTTCTGGGAGACGAGATCGTTTATTGGTTCAGGATGTGGACGGCGAGACAACCCGTCTGCATCCATATTCTGTTTTCCAGCTCTGTACCGAAGCTGGAACTCAAATGACGATAAAGCAGACAACCAGCGGTAACTTGTTGCATCTAACTTAGCAGTGGTCAAAATATAAGTTAGAGGATTGCTGTCAGTTATCACTGTGAAAGGACTCCCATACAAGTAGTCACAAAACTTTTCCGTTACCGCCCACTTGAGGGCAAGAAACTCAAGTTTGTGAGCAGGGTACCGGCTTTCGCTTCTTGATAATCCTCTGCTCGCGTATGCGATAACGCGCATCTCTCCCTCTTGCTCCTGATACAGAGCTGCCCCTAGCCCGGTTGTACTAGCATCTGTATGTAATACATACGGCAACTTGGGATCGGCAAAACCCAACACTGGGGCAGTAGTCAGTTTGTGTATTATTGCTTCAAATGCTCGTTGACATCTCTCTGTCCATCTCTCCCCAAAAGGGGCTTTTGGCTGAAAATACTGGTCACTGTTTAGCTTAAAGCTACTTTTCTTGCGCAGAGGGGGATATCCTGCAGTTAAGTTAGTAAGGGGTTTGACGATTTTAGAAAAATCCTTAATAAACCGCCTATAATACCCCGCAAAACCCAAAAAGGAGCGGAGTTCTTTTAGGTTTGTAGGACTTGGCCAAGTTGTTAAGGCAGCAACTTTTTCGGGGTCTGTTTCAACGCCGCGCTGAGAGACTATGTGCCCCAAATACCTTACTGATGTCTGAAAAAACTTACACTTCTCAAGTGATAGTTTTAGACCATATTCTTGGAGACGACTAAGCACATGGAGAAGACGTGTTTCATGTTGTTCGAGGGTCTCAGAAAAAACTATAAGGTCATCCAAAAAGACCAAGACTTCCTTAAGGTTTATGTCACCCATACATTTCTCCATCAGTCGTTGAAACGTGCTGGGAGCATTAGTTACCCCCTGCGGCATACGGTTGAACTCGAAAAATCCCAATGGGCAAACAAAAGCCGTCTTGTGCTTATCTGCCTCCTCGACTTCAACCTGGTAGTAACCACTTTTGAGGTCAAGGACCGAAAACCATTTCGACCCAGTAAGGGCTGAAAAGGTCTCTTCCAGATTAGGAAGTGCGTAAGCATCTTTGATCGTGTTCTGGTTTAACTTTCGATAATCGACGCAAAGTCGTACATCTCCATTTTTCTTCCTCACTACCACGATAGGTGAGGAAAAGGCTGACTCAGATTCGCGGATTACCCCTGCCTCTAACAGTTCCTGCAAATGATGACGCACAGCGTCAATGTCTTGTGGTCGTATTGGGCGAGGCCTGTGTTTAAAAGGGCTCTCATCGCTCAATTTAATCTGATGCTTTACTTTATTAGTACACCCAAAATCAGTATCATGCTGTGCAAAAACCTCTGGCATAGCATTCAACTTCTGCATAATTCGCTCTTTCCACTCAGGGGGGACTGGGGAATCTGAAAAGTTTAAATTAAGCTCAGCAGGTTGTGAAGAAGTTTGCTTTGACCCATCAGCGATATGGGGATGCGACAAAATCTCCTGCATGGCATGAATTTCAGCAATGACACTGTTTCCAGGAATAACTATGTCATGTTTACTTTCGTTTCGCAGGACGACTGGAAACTTTTGTGATCGTTTCTCAGGAAGGGTGAGTAAACAGTTGGTGACCAAAACACCACCTGGTAAGGAAGATGTATTGGGGGTCTCAACTACCACCCACTTATCTGGAGTGTCAACGTTCACATTAACTGACCCTTCCAAGACTTTACTTTGGCCTGCAGGAATGATTTCAGGCGCATTTCCTGACAGTCTGACAAGACCAAGATTGCTGGTCTCTTTCTGCGTGTGTCTCTTTTGTAACACACTCAGCACTACTCTGTAGCTATAAGGAAGGGTACTGGAATCTGTGTTTGTGAGAGAAAAGGTTTCAAAGAAAAGATCAAGAGTATTAGTACCAATCAAGAGAGAAGATTGGACACTGGAGCGCGTATTTGGAACAACCAACGCAAGAGAAGACACGGTAAGTTCATGTCCAAAACCGTTCTTTGGGAATGTGATATCAACGCATATATAGCCCGAATATGGAATATTCTGACCATTTGCGGCTTCGACTTCAAGAAGGTCATGTATGGAATGAATCTCCAAATGTGAGAGATAACTGTCATAAAACGACTGTGATACGGTTGTTACTTGTGAACCGGTATCGAAAAGGCAATTACAAGCATGTCCATTAATTAGTACTTCAGCAGTGTACTTAGCTCCAACTAGGCCTTTGGGTAACTTCACACTGGCTGATTTGCTGTGAAGGAATCGTTTCCTAGTTTTTCTTGAATGTTTGGCGGGACTTGTTTCATTAAAGGCACTCATTTGTCCCACAATGAGGGCTTCCTCTAGTTTAAAGACTGTGTTTGATTGTTCTGTTTGTCCCAAAGTAACTGTTTTGCTTTCAACTGTTTTCTCTTCTCAGCGACCAGGGATGGATTTAATTCACTGGAGCAAGCTGAAACTATATGGCCATCCTCGCCGCACCGAAAGCAATACCAAGGTTTCGGCCTACTCTTTACAGTTTGGACAGTCGCAGGTTGTTCAGGTGCCTTAGGCTTAATTTGTGTCCTAGCTTTAGGCGCACTAGCACTTTTCTTAGTGGGGTTTGGTGGTTTTAGCTTAGCCAAATGGCTCTGGAGCTCAGCAATTTGTGCTTTTAGTTCTGTGACCAGATCACTTTGAGGAATCACAGGTTGAATTACCTTCTGGGGTTTCAGTCTTGTCAGCTGACTCTGCATCTGAGTTATCTGGGTTCGCATCTCAGTAAGATTGTCTTGAACTGCGGGTTCAGAGAGGTCAGAGGTTGCAGCAATAGCGTGGGAGGCTACTTTTGGTCTTGCAGCAGCAAAGTGTTTTTTCATTCTGCTTTCCTTTGCAATATGCTTGTCTTCTTCAACTCTTAACTGCAATAGCAGCTCAGTGAATGAAGGTGGTTTATCTTTTTTTCTTTCAAGCTGGAGCTCTGCTAGTAAGGCATCATCCCAACACCCACGGCAGAACTGACGCAGAAGGTGTCGATCTGCTTCAGTGGGGACTGCTCCGCCTCTGCTCAAAGCTTTAGAGAGGACTGTCTGCAAGCGATGCAGGTAATTTGATGGTTTTTCACCAGGGTCTTGGAGGGTGTTAAGAAATTTAGCAAAAAGCTCATCGCCATCCTCCACTGTGCCAAAAGCTGAATTTAACAGTTCAAGATAAGCTAATGGCAATGCTGTAGGGCCCAAGGGTTTTACCACATTGGATGCAGGTGGCACAAGGCTGTCTAAAATCTTTCGTGAGCACTGTAAGACAGACAAATCTGGATCCTGAAGAATGAGCTCAACACTGTTGCGCCATGTGTCAAAATCGGCCTCGTGACTAGGACAAGGCAGTTTGCCTGAGAACTGCCTCAGACGAAAAGAGGCACTCACCTGTGAGACCGGAGTTTCATTTCGTACTATATGCTCTACAATTACTTTTTGCACCTCAGGGTGAGTGACAAGGTTCTGTGATAGGTCGGAGGCTAGACTGGGTCGAGGTTGGTTAACTGAGTCAGAGTCAGAATTGCTTAGAGTAGTTTTAGACTGCTCTGCATTCTCATTTTGAAAGAGTTGGTCATTTTCTTGGGTTGGTCTGGCAACTGGGTTCATTAGGTCATTTTGTGTCTCAAGAGTAAAACTCTTAGTTTCAGGAATCTCAGAGCCACCTGTGACTGACTGAGAGCATTTGGACAGGTGCTCATGCAGGACGGCTTCAAAGGATTTTCCACCTAATTTAGCAATTTCTTGCAGTTCACAGAATAAACGGTGGGTGGCTCTGTCTCTGACGTCAGACACATACTCACTAGATAGGGCTCTGATTCGATAAGAGACTTTCTCTGAGCTCTCAAGTACATAAGGGAGTAAGGGTTCAAGTGCTGTCAAAGAAGTACCACTCTCATACTCCACAATGGCATTTTGGTGGTAAGAAGACTGCGGGTCATCTATTTTGAAGGTTCTCATTATTTTCCCATACCTGTTCAGGAAGTCTGATACATTTTCATCAACCTCTGTGTCAGTGATACCACTAACGATGACTGAGTTTGGAACTTTAATGTTTTCTTTGTTGACTATGTCCATTTTTGCTGAACTTGGCCCTTTTTTTTTTTTTTATTTGGTTCAGAAATAAAGTTTTAAACTTCTATTTCTTACTCCTGGCTGGCTCGCCACTTTCTGTAACACTCACGATGTGTTTACAGTTAATAAAACAGACAATGGACC